TAAATATGCAGGCATTACATCCATTAGCCGCAAATCTTTCTCTTTTATATAGCCAGACTTAGCAAAGATTTAAATGTCTTAGCATCCACCACAGGGGAGAATATCTCCTCTATTTCTGGTCTTTGTGTGAATCCTTGTGCGACAAGCCGTGTCTGATATATTACGCTTTCACTATGTTTATTTCACACAATCACAAAGACTCATTTGTCCCACTGGCTTTACATTGAATGGTGTCCTTTGTATTGGACCAAACACATTCTTCTTCTTAATGATTCTTAGCTCCACGTTTTATGGTCTTGTACCATTTTAATCAATCAGGTCTTTGAGTGCACTCTAGTATAGACGTGGGCTCCTGATCCTCATTCATTTCAGTTGCTACCTTGTGCGCAAATATATTATCATTGATGTCGACATCTTTTCGGTTCCATTGTATTCTAGACATGATATAGTTTATAGAGATCTCTTTACACCTTCAGGACCTTGAGGTTTGGCGTCCCAAACCTCATTGATTGGTACCTTAGGGTTATGTCTATTAGCCGGCCATGTCTATGGTTTCTTGAACCTTCTCGGTTTCCCTTGCACCTTTCTTTGATTTCCGAGGGTTCTTGTCTTTGGAACCTTTTGGGTCTACCATGTTTCTTACGTGTTGTAGCCTCTGTAGCAACTTGATTGTGTTCCTTGTGAACATCAATACGTACTGGTGCATTACAAGCTGGTATGTACGATTTTGTTACTCTTTTTGGGTCATTATAGGAATCTTGGCAACTGTTTTAGCTAGCTTTTGCAGATATATAGTCTTTTGGATCTCTGATGGAGTCCGAGGATCTTGCCATGTGAAGGATGTTTGATTCCATATAAGTTCTTTGACCAGCTTGTTAGTCTCTCCACCCAGTGTTGGGAAAACGGATTCATTGAGATGACAATCCTTGTATCTGGCCTTTGGCTCGAGATACTTAATGATGGTGGGAGAATCATTTTTAACGTATATTCCCATCCCCTTTTGAGGTCCCATCATTTGCTCTCTGTGGTGGTGCTATGGGTAAATAGGTGACACACCCAAATGTCTTTAGATGGGAAACGTCTGGCTCATGACCCGTTAGCAATTGGGATGGGGAATATCTATGCTCACTAGATGGCCGAATGCGTATTAGTTCAGCAGCGTCTAAAACTGCATGTCCCCAAGCTGAGACCGGAAGCTGCGACCTCATGAGTAATGGTCGAGCAATTAGTTGAATTCGTTTAATGGGGGATTCAGCTAATCCGTTCTGTGTATGGACATGTGCCACAGGATGTTCCACACTTACCCCCATGGCCATACAATAGTCATTAAATGTTTGGGAAGTGAATTCACCAGCATTATCTAAACGTATGGTCTTAAGAGGAAAATCTGGAAAATAGGCTCGTAATCTGATGATTTGGGCCAATAACCTAACAAACGCTTGGTTCCTAGAAGACAAACATGCGACCAGCGGGTCGATGCATCGATTAAAACCATGAAGTACCAAAATGTTCTACAAGGTGGATGGATCGGACCACATATGTCTCCTTGAATTCGTTCCAGAAAATGTAAGGTCTCTTTAGACACTTTGACTGGTGAAGGTCGAGTGATAAGCTTCCCTTGTGAACAGGCTATGCATGTGTGGTGCTTAGGGAAAACTCGGTTTTCTTTAAGGGTGTGCCCTTTAGAACTTTGAATTAATTTACGCATCATATTCGAACCGGGCTGGCCAAGCCGGTCATGCCATTAGTGAATTTCTCAGTAAACCCTTTTGTTTACTTTATTAGCCTTTATCATATTGACCTTGGCATAGTAAAGATATATGACGCGGGTATAGTCTGTAAGACCTTCTCATGGTCTTGGATGCTCTTAGTAATATATGGGAATCATTTGTTCCCTTCACCCTTAGTTTCAATGTGGAAACTATTCAAACACATTTCTTTGAAACTCAACAAGCCCCTTTGAGCTGGGTGAATATGAAGCATCTGAGGATGCGTGCCCTTGGGAATATGGGCCTGCCATGGGCCTACCCTTAGCCTTCACTAAATTTAGCTATACCCGCAATTTGGCTAATGAACCATGTCTTTAGATATTTCGTTTATTGAATTCTCATAATCATCTATCTCATGGTCGAAATCTTCTTCACCATCGTGATGAACTAAATGAGCTTCTTGATTCTTTTCAAACTCTCTTGATAGAGATCAACGAGATGCTTAGGTGTCATGCACGTCTTAGTCCAATGGTTTCCCCATTCCTCATCAGTGGCAAACAAGTTTATTTGAGTGTTGTGGTTTGGGTATACCGTGGCCTACCTCGATTACGACCAAAGTCGGGTCGGTGGCCTTAACCATATGAATGGTTTCCTTGATCATATAAATTATAATTTCCACTTCTACCACGTCCATTCCATTTACCATGATTGTGGCCATGATACTTATCTCTTTGGACGTGGTTAGACTCTTTAGTCTCTTTAGGCTCTTTAGGCTCTTTAGGCTCTTCAGCCCAACGGGCTTCTGATAATGGGGTAGGACCAGGAGGTCTCATTTCACTATTCATAACTCATTGTTTTGCTCAGCAAGTAGCAAAACAAGAGTTTAGACTTGCATATGTGGTAAAAACCTTTTTTTTTTTTTCACGATATTGTTGCTGAGGCAATATATTGTTTGTATGAAAGGTCGAGAATGCTTTCTTTAGCAAGTCATTCTCAGTAATTTCCTCACCACGGAATCTCAGTATTGACACTATTTTAAATAGTGCTGAGTTATACTCATTCATGGATTTGAATTCTTGGAATCTGAGATTCTTTCGATCGAATCGGGCTTTTGGGTAATAGCACCGTTTTTTTCTTTCAACTATGTCCAGAGGTCCAGAGGATTCTTAATAGTGAGGTACTGATTTTGAGACTCTCATTGAGGTGATGGCGTATGTTAGTAATCGCCTTATATCTTTCTCTTCTGGTGACATTGTTTCCTTCCATAATAGATTCACCAAGCCCTTTTTCCTTTAGGAAAATCTTAGTGTCCAAAGCCCATTTTAAATAATTGTCACCAGAGGCATTGAGTGCCGTGTATTCATAATAGTTGATTTCTGATATCTATAATATATAGAGTTAAATGAGAACTCATGTAATCGGTTAGACCAAGTTATGCGGTATTTGAGACCGAGCCATGCTTGTCTTCAACAAGTGTTTTCTAAACAATCATGTTATATATATATATGGATGAAATCAACCCTAGAAGATTGATCTAGTATGCAACAACCAAACAATCGGATCATACTAGATTAGGATATTAGGATTTCGCGGTTAAGTTTTAGGGTTTTAGCATCCGCGATTTATAGTACTAGGGTTTTTGCTAGGATTTTGGTTTTATGTATGGAACTTTCTATTTATGGAAACTTTCCTTATATGGAACTTTCCTTTTATGGAAAATTTCTATTTCTCATCTAGAAAGAAATCCTAAACAATTATGTACTTTAGGGTTTTGGAATATTTCCTTATGAAGGGGTTTCCTATTTTGGTAACTTTCCATTTTGGGAAACTTGCTATTTTAGGAAACTTTTTATTTTGGGAAACTTGCTATTTTACGAAACTTTCTATTTCTGTAAACTTTCTTTATATGGAACTTTCTATTTCTGGAAACTTTCCATTTATAGGAAGCTTGATCTTAAACCGTGACTTAGGGTTTATTAAACCGGTTTAACCTAGGATTTAGGGTTTCGGTTTACTTTCGGTTTAACCTAGGGTTTATATTAAAACATTCAATCTATCATGCCATTAAACATCTTTCCATTCACTAACTTCTCAATTAATTCTCCAATCATAAATCAAATCACATGTGCCAATTTTCATGCAAATTTTATCTTATCAAACTTTAATTGGATCATGTATATAAAGCATAATAAATAAATAGCACTTATCTTAATTGGAGAACTGAAACAGAGACCCGAGATCTGATACGGAGATTGGAAACAGTTACGTCTCTTAGCTGGTTGGGACCTCCTACAAAATCTCAATATATATAATCCTGATTCCTGAGAAACTCAAAATTTTGCTCATAGAAACATGGCTATTACATTAGTAAAAAGAAAAAAAAATAGGGTTTCTGTAATATACTGCATAAAACAGTTCAGAATCAATAACATATAATCCGTGCATAAATCGTACAAAAATATAGACAGGATTGATAATAAATAATCCGTGCAAAATTTGTGCAAATCTACAGACAGAATTGACAACAGATAATCTGTGCAAAATTCGTGCAGAAATACAGATAAAATTGATAACATATAATCCGTGCAAAATTCGTGCAAAACTACAGACAGAATTGACAATAGATAATCTGTGCAAAATTCGTGCAGAAATACAGACAAAATTGATAACATATAATCCGTGCAAAATTCGTGCAAAACTACAGACAGAATAGATAACAGATCATCTGTGCAAAGTTCGTGCAGAAATACAGACATGATTAATAACAGATAATCCGTGCAAAATTCGTGCAGAAACAAATATGAACAGAAAACTTATCTCGATAGAGTTTAAAATTTTGTTTGCAGAGACAGCTAGGGTTTTGGTTTTGGTTTTTGTGAGAGAGATTTAGGGTTTCGGGATTTTTTAATTTTTAGGGTAAGAGGCTATCGTGCTGATAACGTGTTGTGAACTGTGTCTTTCATTAATAGTATAAGGGATATATATACGAGGATAATAGCAGGATACAGAGAATAAGGTAAAACCCTAATGGGCCATGGGCCGGTTATGGAGTCCATCCATATGGTTTATAACAATTATCAATTTATCATTACTAATAAAATGCTTTTATAGCCGTCTATTTCAATCCTCCGTTATCATTACTACCATTACATCACCCAAGTTAATTAAGCTAGCAAATCAAACTAGTAAAACTAAAAGGGTCGTTGACGAAAAGTTATTTGCTGGTTAATGCATACTACACACGGCTAAGGCAACATTAAGAGGTGTTTTTTTTTTTTAATGTAGTATATATAGTGAAAATATTTGGTTAGCGGGTTGATTTAACCGGATATAGGGTTCATATATGCAATTGAAAGTACAATTGTGAAAAAAGATAAATAAAAAAGGAAAGATGGTTTTTTGATACACAAGCTAATTAAGTGCATCGAGAGGAGAGCTATTGAAAATGAATGTTTTGTTTGTTTTTGTACGGTGGAGAGAAGAATGAAAAGATGATCAGGTAAAGAATGAAACTTGGAAATCATGCAAAGCCACACCTCTCCCTTCAACACATTCTTACGTGTCCTCTTCTCTTCACTCCATATCTCCTTTTTATTACAAAAATAAAAATCTTTCAAACCAATTATATTTATATGTATGTTCTCTTAGACTTATCTCTTATACCCCTTTTGTATGCTCTTAGCCTTTGCTCTTTAGTTTTAGATCATATCAATCGACATGGCGAATGTTGACCGTGATCGGCGTGTGCATGTAGACCGTACTGACAAACGTGTTCATCTTCAGCCATCCTACGAAGATGATGTTGGTTTTGGTGGTTATGGTGCTGGTTCTGATTTTAAGAGTCGCGGCCCCTCCACTAACCAAGTATTTTTGTGTTCTCTTTAGTTTTTAAGTCTTAATTAGGATTCCTTTAAAATATGCAACAATAATCTAACTGCTGTTTCCAAAATAAATAAAGTTTGAAATCAGAGTTTTATACGCCACTTGCATATGTTTATCATGGTGATGCATGCATGCATGGATCATATCTAGAGATTTATGGTTGGATTTTTAACATTTTGATATGTTGATATTAATTTTTAAAAGGTCTAAACAATAAACAACACTTATTTAATAAACTCGATATAATCAATATATACATGCAGATCTTGGCACTTATAGCAGGAGTTCCCATTGGTGGCACACTGCTAACTCTAGCTGGGCTCACTCTAGCCGGCTCGGTGATCGGCTTGCTAGTCTCCATACCCCTCTTCCTCCTCTTCAGTCCGGTCATTGTCCCGGCGGCTCTCACAATCGGGCTTGCTGTGACGGGAATCTTGGCTTCTGGGTTGTTTGGGCTGACGGGTCTGAGCTCGGTCTCGTGGGTCCTTAACTACCTCCGTGGGACAAGTGATACAGTGCCAGAGCAATTGGACTATGCTAAGCGGCGTATGGCTGATGCGGTAGGCTATGCTGGTATGAAGGGAAAAGAGATGGGCCAGTATGTGCAAGATAAGGCTCATGAGGCCCGTGAGACTGAGTTCACAACTGAGACCCATGAGCCGGGTAAGGCCAGGAGGCTCATAAGCTAATTATAAATTTCTCGAGTCTGTTGGAAAGGCGATCATGTTATTTTACTTTTATGTCCCAGTTTCTTTCCTCTTTAATTTTAAGAATATCTTTGTCAATATGTGTACGTTCGTTTTGTCTTGTTCAAATAAAAATCGTTGTTAATGAAATAAGAAGTGAAATAAATATATTTTATTTTCTAAGATAACCACAAATTTCTTACCATTTTCTTTTGTAACGAGTTTTCTTGTATTAAATTTAGAAGAATATACAAACTAAAGAATCAAACTTTAATCAAAGTAGTTGGCTACAATTAGTTGAAAACCACCCCTGAATGACGAAAGGACCCCATTTGGATAATAAGCCGAGAAGAGAAAATGTCTTGTTCGAGGCCTCTCGACGTGAGAGTTAAGCCACTTAGGCATCAGCCATGTTTGTTTGATGTTATGTTCCCAAAGGTTACTCGATCTGTTTTGTGGGATTTCTTGTTCAACATAAACAACTAGGTCGTTTGTAGAATGCTTGTGATTGCTGTTTTGTGCCAAACGAGGGAAGCCCACATGACATAGGATCGTGAATGCCTATAAGGTAAAGACGAAAGATATTTTTATTTCGTACCGCTTATTTACAAAAACCGCATTTGTTCCGCATACCGCACGTACCGCAGTTGAACCGTACCGCACTGTCATACCGCTTTCTTCGCACAACAACAACCGCGGTTACCATTCGGAAGTCTCTATAAAGAAAGATATTCCTCTCAAATTTTACTAGTTGCGTTAGAAAAATATGAAATAAATTATTCATCTCACACCACTTTAGTTAGATGGACAAATAAGAGAAATATAGGAACATAAATTTCCACTAAAAAGAGAGGATCGGAACAGTAAAAAAAAATATTATTTTGAAGGACAGCCATTACATCCTTACAGAATTTTTGAAGCAAGATGATGAAAGTAAGAAGGTGAAGTTTCTTGTCGACTTTGCCGAAAGAACAACCATCTATCCTGGTAAATAAAATGTTTAATAATCGCCAGACTGTCTTAAAATTACAGTGGACTTTGTGCCCAAACCTAAATATATATCAACTTTGGTATATGTTAAGACAGAAATTCAAAAAAATGATTTTTTTCTATATAGATATTTTTAAAATTAAAGGCTTTTTTTTTTTTTTGGATCAAACAGGCTTTTTTTTTTTTTTTTAAATCTATTTATTATCTAATAGCAAATTAAAGAAAAAAAAAATCCAGTGCTTTTGCATTGTCAGGTACTTGGGCCTGATCATCGCATACAAGAGAATGCAGGGTCGGTTCGGTTTCTCTAGCTTAACTTGGATCTTCGTCAGTTTAAATTAAGCCTAGGCTTTCGGTTAACCGTTCGGTTATCAGTTGGGTCCATTCAGTTTCGGTTATTTTGGTTTCAAAATTTATTATCCATTCGGATATTTTAAAATTTTGGTTCGGTTCTAGTTCTTTTGGTTTTAAAATTTAGTATTCATTCGGTTATTTTACTTAAGATATTTTCGGATATTTCGGTTATTTTTGAGTATTTTCGGATATTTTTGGATAAATTTCAGTTATTTTCGAGTATTCTAACTATTTTTACATATTTTACAAGTATTTTGATTATTTGGTCTATAAATAACTAATTATTTTGAAAATATAATTGTATTTCGGATATTTCGGTTCGGTATCGATTCGATTACGGTTATTTCGGTTATTAAATTTACCATCCATTCGGTTATTTTCAAATTTTCGGTTCGGTTTTTTTGCTTCGGTTTCGGTTCGGTACATTCGGTTCGGTTTATTTGCCAGGCCTAGTTTAAATACCAGCTTATTGGGCCAAATCGAGACGGCCCATTATCTAGCACCGGCTTATCGGACTTCCTCTACCCGGCGCTGTAAATTCCAAATCCCTCCGTTCACGTCTCCAAACTAGCCGTTGCCTTCTCTCTCCGGTCAAAGCGATGGCCTCATACGCTACGTTACTGGAGAAAACTCGCGTTGCTCAACCTTCTATACAAAGATTCGCAGTAATTTCCGTCTTCTCCAAGTTACGATCTGCTCCAGAACAATTAGGATCAGAATCTGAAGCCGGAAGAGAAGCTATCTCCTTCTGTCTCACTTCTGAATCTGTCACTGTAGTTGATCAATCCGTTCGTGAGCTATGTCGATTAGTATCAGACTCTGTCTTAGACCTCTCTCGTGGTTTGTTAGAACTTCAATCAGCTCTCGAAGGATGCGATTCGAAATTGGTTTCGCTGTTTGTGAAAGGGTTAGGGTTTTTGATTCGTATTGGTTATGAACGGAATTCTGGGAATTGGAAGTTTAATTCGACGGAGAATCATCCGTTTGTTAGGGTATGTGATACATTGATGCGTTTCGTTGTTCTATAGGAATTGTTGGAATTTAGCTAGTCTTTGATGTTTCTTGTTGTTGTTGTTGGTTTCAGATTCTTTCTAGCCGAGCGGAGACACAGACGGAGCTTCTTCATCAAGTATCACTCTTTGTGATGCATAATCGGAGATTGGGAATGGTGGGAGTATGTGAATTCTTGGAGCCGTTTTTGAATTTCACAATACTGCGGATTCCACTTGCAGATTCGTCGTCATCGTTGTTTGCAAGGGAGTTGATTTCATCAATGGCTTCCCTTTGTTGTTCATCCCGCAAAGAAGCACTTCCGATATTCAGGTTGCTATTGCGTTGCCTAAAATATATCCCGGGAAAAAATCTGGAAGTAAGTTTACATGATTAGCAGTGATTTTGGTGAATGCAAGTAATGGGATGCAATATTAGTATACAGTTCTAAATTTCTGAAACTGTTCAGGACAATAGAAATTTCAGCTGCATTGTCAAGACTCTAGTGGATGCATACACTGTGGTTGTGAGAGACTTGGTTGGAACTGGATTGGTATGTGCTAATTTCATCATGCATTCATCTTAAACTTTGTGCTCATTGTCCGATATCCATTTAATTATCTATACTAGCAGGAAGTAACAGAAGTTCATCTGCTCGGCGTGCAACTGGTAGATGGTGTACTTTTTCTTTGCGCTTCTCCTCATGTACAAACAACCGAACAAGAGTCTGTTATCGAATCTTCGAAGCATTTGTTGGCTGTTCAGAAAGACCTTGGATTACCATATTCACGTGATTTATCCTTGGTGGTTCTCTCGCTAGTTTTCATGCTTGCCAAATCCAGTGTCGAGCATGAACAACTCTCTATTCTAAAGTTCCTGCTTTTTCTGCTCAAATGGAAAACTGAAAGTGGTATATTTGTGTCTCCATCTTTCTATTCATTACCCTCTTGCTCGTTTCGTTGTCTAATAGTGTAGTATCTTGTTTACTTCCTTCCACTTGGAGTGTCCTGCTATGACTCAAAATGTGATGTGTGTATTTTCTGTTGACTGAGAATTGATTCTTTGCAATCGTTTTGTAGAAAACTTGTCGGTTAAAGATGCGGCCGGTTCAAGTGTGGAGTCTCTATTATTGTTCCCTACCATTGCACTGATGTCTTCTCCTTCTAAATCAATCAAAGTAGCAGCAAGTAAGGTTCTTTCCATCGTAGAAAATGTCTTGGTAACAGTGTCAAATGCACCAAAGATTGAGGTCCACAAAAGTAAAGGAGATTCACCACTCAGCAGGGTGGGCTCTGTCGTATTTAGGGTCATGCAGCAACTCTGGCATCAGGTTTATTTCCTGTGGAGAAACCTGCTATTTTCTTTTGGCATCTGTCTATAATGAGTTACATAGATCTACTCATGGGTTAGGTTATTTAAAATAATTATTCCTCTGAGGGTTGGTTGGAGATAAACATGTTTATTTTAATTTATGTCCATTAACTCCATATCAAAGTATTACACAAAAGAAACTCGGAATCAAATTGCTCACTGACTCTTTGAATGTTCTTTTTCCAGAATGATTACGCACCTTCCACGCCCTCCTTCCTCAGAGTGGCTTACATCAATGGAAGTGAAAAACAGGAAACTTATCCAGGACCAGTGACTTGGAATTCACTACTTAGGGAACATGCTGAACGGTTTTGGGATAGAAAAAAGTTGTCTGCGTCGTTTTGTCTTTCACAAGAGATACCTATTTTACTTGGTGCTGTTGCTGGTGTCATGGTGATGCACCCGTCCCTAGGAGCTGATGCTGTTAGTTCTTTGACTATTATTGGTGGCATCGATCCTAAGATGTGTGTCCCGCTGTTGCTAGCTGTTCTATATTACAGCAACTTGTTATCTCGAACTAACGTCCCTTGTCAGAGTCTATTGGTGAGACTACTCTCATTCATTATATGTATCTTCAAATCCAAGTGCTTGTCTCTTCTATTTCTTTTTCCCTTAGTCTAGTTCCCATTATATTTCTTTGATGTGCAGTCAAAACTTCTGGGGTTGCTCCCATCACTAGCTGCACAACAGGTGATGATTCCACTTGTAGTTCAGACTATTACTCCAATGCTACACAAGGATGCGAAAGGGTCAGTACACCTTTTTCTGATCATTGCTTGTGTACTGTATTTTTTTAATCGTGTTTATAATAGTTGATTCTGGGTTGAAACCCTTACCGGGTGCTTGCAAAAATCAATTTTCACCTTTGCTATGTGGTAAACGAGTAGTCTTTGCAAACCCCTATAAGTGGTTCCATTAACTTTTCAGATGCTGGGCTTATGATATATGATAAAAGGTTGATTTGGAAGCCAAAAAATTAGTATGTGATGTTTCATGCTTTAAACTACATTTACCAATCTTGTTGAATTGGGTTTCTGTGCTCTACCTTGTTTCCATTTCTGTACTGCCATAAAATGGAGTTGACATGAGTAGCTCTGATGATGGTTTATTTTAGTCTGTTGTATGCTACAGCAATTAGATTACTTTGCCAGACCTGGGTAGTCAATGACCGTGCCTTTTCAAGTTTGCAAGTAAGCTATTCTTATCACTGAAATTTTGTTCGACATTGATATTGTCAGCTTGCTCATGCTTATTTTTTAATATTCAGGAGGTGTTACGCCCAAAAGGATTTATAGACTATATTTCAGAGAGACATATCTGCATTAGTATGGCTGCTTCCATTCACGATGTATGCAAGAGACACCCTGATAGGGGGGTAGACCTAATCTTGTCCGTTCAGGTATAGTTTCTCAAGTAGTGTTTGCTATTTGCTGATTTGGCTGTATATCGAAACTTTGGGAGTGCCTTCAAAATTTTCCACTGG